AGCACTCTAACATTCTATAGTAGTGATATAGTCTGTAGTGGTACATGTAGCATAGTGTAAGGGCAGATCAATAAATTCAGTTGATCCTACTGGAAAAAGAACTTCAATAAACTAGGGTTATTATTGTTCATGCTTTATAATTTTATATTTATATTTTTTTCTTATTTTTTTATTTATTTATTTATTTATTTTTTACTGTTTTTTTTATTTTTTTAGTGGAGTGTGCAGGCTGCCACAGAAGAGACGAGAAGAGGGGAGGGGAGGGGAGGTGATGGACCCACCATACAAATGCTACCACAACAGAAATACAAACTAAGGACAACAGAATGTAGAGAAGATCCCATAATGTGGTGAGAACCCCTGCCCCCGTGCTGGATCCGCTACTTGTGCATGGACCGCGGAGCAGGGGGGAATTTTCTTAAATAAAGAAGCGAAGAACCTGAAATTTCACCATATATACTCTATAAAATTTGTGCAAAAACTGAGCGTATTGAAGCTTTTTTGAGAAGTCTTTGGGATTTATTGATAATATCGCTGACCGTGTGTGCGGTAAAATGTCTTTGATAACGCCTCAAAACGCTGGAAATGACATTTCCGAGAGTTCAGATCTAGTACCTCCTCGCCGCTAGCCCCCCAAACAAATTCACGCTCCGCGGTCCCTGTTGTGCGATTGAAATCAAAGGTCGTCATAAAATGATCAAATATTTCAATGTAAGCTAGTAATGAATTAAGTCCATCAATACTTTAATTACCTTTTAAAAGAGCTATTAGCTTCGGATTTCCAAGTAAAAACTTTACTGTCATTTGCGCCCGGCATTTCCGATCCTCGATACAGAAATGGCGCGAGAAATAATGCTGAGGAGTGATTGGCTTTCATTGAGCTAAATCTCCCATTGATCTGGCATCGAACGTGGCAAAACATGTACCTTTGGCTACACAACTTTAGTATAATAATCCGCTTTCTCTTCATTGTCTTCAAACAGCTCTAAATTTGCCAACAGTGCTTGAACAGTCAGATTGCTGACAAGCTGCACGACGTGCAGGCGCCTTTGTAAAACTGTGATATTATCTAGAGCTTACAAATCAAAATTTTTGTATGACATAGATGGCTGCAAGAAAGGAGAATACTGTATAAGTGAAGTGATGTTAAGATTAAGAAAGCATTTGCCATAAAAAGATCAAATAAGTTTCTTACCGGCGATGTCAGCTTAGCTACATAAGTGTTTTGATTCAGTGCAAAATGTCCAAGGCGTTCCTGTGTCAAATTAGTTCTTCCAGGGGAGGGGTATGATGGGCAAAATTTTGAACATTGGCAGAAATTGCAACTTTTTGCTAAACTTTTTTGATTTTGATAAAGAAATACGATAATTCACAAAATCGGAGATAAATAAGTAGATATAAAACCAAAATACATTATGCAAAAATTCCACTCTCAACCCTTGCATGATTTTGCTCTGACTCTCTGCGGTCAACCGTACGATCACGTGATGAAATTTCATCCGAGTTTGGAATTTTGAAGTTCTGCACGAAGCGCAAACTCCCGYACAAACCATGGCTCCTTCGTATCATCTCGTATACTTTGACATCAGAGGAAGAGCTGAACCAATCCGCATTCTCTTTGCCTTGGCTGGTGCTTCTTATACTGAGGAAAGAGTAAACCCAAGCGAGTGGCCAGCGTTAAAAACAAGTAAGGGTTTTGTAAAGTTATTCTGCACTGTCATCGTGGTGATGGCGGCATTCGTGCACCTCGCAATATCTCTCCATCTAATGTATTAAATAATGCTAATGCTAAAATGCATTTAAAAGAAAAAATAAATTATTTA